AATAGCCTTTGTGTGCATTTTCTCTTCTATTATCTAATCATGCATGGATGAGATAATTATATAGGAATTTGCTTTTCAGATGATTGAATAATTGAAGTCAATAGTCACACAATTTATTATGTGAGGATTTTAAACTCCTTAAGTAAATTAGCCTCAAAATCATGACTCACTGGGTACACATACACACACCCCATGTTACTGCCCCCCTGAACACTGGGGCTCCCCCATGCAGACTATGACATGCGGTATAACCTGCTAATAGTGAGTGATGACATGGCCTTGCTCTCTGTATTACAGGTATGCTTTCCACAGCTCGTCTTGGTTGGTGGCAGGCAAAGCTGACCCGGCCACCCCCGGGAGGGTCCATTATCACCCGGACTCCCCAGCCAAAGGCGCCCAATGGATGAAACAAATCGTGTCCTTCGACAAGCTGAAACTGACCAACAATTTACTGGACGACAACGGACATGTGAGTGTGAATTGGGGATTGGGGGGAACAAGGTTTAGACTCACTGGAGTCATCGACTCATAGCTCTATTAATCTGATATATTCATCTGGGCATCTGTCACAAGTTCCAACTGGAGCTGGGGACTTATAACTGAAAACACATGGATTACGTTCAAGAAATGTAATGCTTGAAATTCGCTGGAGCTTTTCACTCCAAAGCTGATGTTTATTGTGAGTACACATACAACATATGTCTGGGAAATCGGCTTGTGGTTATTAAGCTACCAGCCACTTTCTAGCATTGGAATCCTACACCTCTATCTTTGAGATGATTTAAGGAGTAGATAATCTTCAATCAAAAAGTGTGTGATTATTCCTTTTTATTTATGTAGAAAGCATCTGCACATGACTGGGTATTCTAAGGTAAAACGGATTTGATTTTTATATGATTGGATAGTTACAATTATTAATCAAATTATTTTGTGAGTCAAGAGTCTCAACTCCTTTAGTAAATCAGCCTCATTGTGTCACACGGATGGCTAGTTAAGTGATAGAGGTGGTTGCCAGCACATAGGATCAGACAGTGCTCATAACCGGGATATCTGCAAAACTATTCTTTGGACAGGAAACCAAAAGTCCAGGTTGTAACGTTCGTTAATCGTTTTATTAAATCCGAAGGATCAAAATACAGGCAACAGTTTCTGGTTGTGCTCCGCTCTGCAAGCCAACAAATCACACATCCTAATAACAGGGTAGCAATGACAGTTTAAATGACAGAACTATCCAGGAAACAATGTTGTTACTAAGAGAAAATAGAACTCAAATCAAAACAATTGAAGCAATTGTAATAAATGAGTCATTATAAGTGCGCTGGATGCTGTGTGTACACACAAATCAGGAATCGGCGTACTGGACCTGTAGAACAGTACTTACTGCTACTACTACTTAATAATAATAATAATAATAATAATAACAACTATTATTATTTATGCAATTGTGTGTTTTGTGTTAGACTAACTTGTTACACATTTGTTACAAATGTTTCGACTTGAGTTCTCTTTGTAACAATATTTATCTTAGTAGTCATGTCATTTAAACTTGAACACTTACATCAGTGTTTGGATACTGGATAATAAGAGTTCTGCAACCAATATATACTGTATGTATGTGTGTATATATATATATATATATATACAAATATGATTTTATTTACTAGAAATGTACTTTGCTATGTTAACTATATGCATAACCTTTACATATTGATTTGCCTTGATAAGAGAACGTAGAGATGGCCAGAAAGATAGGTGATATGTGTGTCCAGGGCAGTGACTTGAGTAGGGCAGTAGTTCAGGGCCTACATAAGACAGGGGTGCAAAGTAAAATTTGGAACAAAAGAATAGGGAATGCCTTTGAAAGTTGGGCATGAAGCAGCGAAGTGAATCCGATGTTACAATGATTGTACTTTACCACAATCCCTTTGGTTTTTGAAGGCATATCATAGAGTGTGTTTGATCCAGTCCTGGTGATCGGGTGATAAATGTGTTCTTGTATTCCTGCAGATCATCCTGAACTCCATGCACAGATATCAGCCCCGTTTTCATGTGGTGTATGTGGACCCCAGGAAGGACAGTGAGAAATATGCAGAAGAGAACTTTAAGACATTTGTGTTTGAGGAAACCCGTTTCACCGCAGTGACTGCCTATCAGAACCACAGAGTGAGTATTTCTGGAGTTTATTACCGCTTCCAATGCATCATTTATCAGAGCCTTCCCAATGATGGATGATGGCCCGGAAAAGTAGAAGGAGGGGGGAAAAAAAGCTGCTTAACCATAATGCAGAGCAGCCACTACTAGCAAAACACAGCTCTGAGTCTAGAAGAAAAGAGAGATGATCGTTTACAAATAAGTAGACTTTTCCTTTGACTGTTCTCATTTTCCAGCGATCAATAAAGACATTTAAATATGTCAAATTCACTTAGGAAAACACTTCTTGGAAGAAGGCAGGGAGAGGTCTGTGTTTTTCTCAGATAGGTACATAAGGCAGGGAGAGGTCTATGTTTTTCTCAGATAGGTACATAAGGCAGGGAGAGGTCTATGTTTTTCTCAGATAGGTACATAAGGCAGGGAGAGGTCTGTGTTTTTCTCAGATATAGGTACATGAGGTAAGGGGAGAGTGTATTTTCTTACGTTTGTATCATTCATTGCAGGCTGGGTACATCTGTATTGATGCTGTACTACATCATAACAAATTCCCTCTACTGCAGATCTGAGTATTAATTTTGTTATAAATGTTCTCACTCCTTGTACAGAGATTACAGAGATTGTTGAGGAAATGGTGTTGTATGTCAGGAGTCTGGGCACTCCTGTGGTCCTGGTAGCAGTACTATAACCACACCATTATATGTTGTTAGCAGAGGTTGTCCTGCGCTTGGAGCTGCTGACTGTGCATCTGCTAAAGCACTTGGCCATGTAGAGCAGGAAATGGGGAGCAGAGGGTTCAGTCACTGATGGACATCAGGAGCCAAACACTGCAGAAATCCAGTCACTAGGAAGAAAAAACAACTCTGAAACCCAGAGGGATACCATTACCTACGTAAACCCTAGACCCACTCTACTTTGACTCCTATTGCTTCCCCACTGTGAAATGTCAATCAAATTGTGTTTGGACAAATCTGCTTTTCTGTTTACCTAGATTTGCCAATCCCCATGTACAAACCTAGCACAAAGGAAGTGCCCATCACTGGTCAATTTCCACTAATTTAATCAGGTAAACAACTGCAAATAAAGCAGCAGAAGCCTGTCCTTGCATCTAAATGGATGCAGGCTTCTAGCAGGACTGTCTGTTATAAAAGTAAATGAGCCTTTCTTATCCTCATACCCTAATTAAGTTATTCTCAGTTATCACAGTCATATTAGAAGGAGGAGTGTAGAAATAGGAGGCTTGTAGTACATACGCAGGCAGACAGCTCTTCAAAGCCATCAGATTCAATAAACAAGTTAACTGAGGCTCATTGAGAACAAGTGAGAGGATCTGCACGGCCAGGAGGGGATATGTGATTCCATTCATGAGCACTGCGTGCTTCCATCTATGAGTGCTGCATGCTTCCATCTATGAGTGCTGTATGCTTTTATCCATGAGTGCTGCATGCTTTTATCTATGAGTGCTGTTTGCTTGTATCTATGAGTGCTGTGTGCTTGTATCTATGAGTGCTGTGTGCTTTTATCCATGCGCTTTTATTCATGAGTGTTGATTGCTTCCATCTACGAGTGCTGTGTGCTTTTATCCATGAGTGCTGCGTGCTTTTAACCATGAGTGTTGATTGCTTCCATCTACGAGGGCTTTGTGCTTTTATCTATGAGTGCTGCTTCCTTCCACCCATGAGTGCTGCGTGGTTCTATATATGTGTGCTGCATGCTTCCATCTATAAAGGCTGTGTGCTTTTATCTATGAGTGCTGCATATTTCTATCCATAGCCGGTGCTGCCACTATAATGGGGGTTGCGACGCAGGAGGAAGGGGTGCAAGTAGCTGCTCTTGCCTAGGGCGCAAAATAGTCTAGTACCAGCCCTGCTTCCATCCATGAGTGCTGCTTGCCTCCATCTATAAGTGCTGTGTGCTTGTATCTGTTAGTGCTGTGTGCTATCATGTATGAGTTTTGTGTGCTTCCATCTACGAGTGCTGCCTACTTCCATCCATGAGTGCTGCACGCTTTTCTGTGTGAGCGCTGTGTGCTACCATCTATTGTTGTGCACTTCCACCAGTGAGCTCTGTGTGCTACCATCTATGCTTTTTGTGTGCTTCCATCTATTGGTGCTGTGTGTTTCCACCAATGAGTGCAGCATGCTTCCATCTATGAGCGCTGAGCTGCAATCTACGATTGTTCTGTGCTTCTTTCCATGACTGCTGTGTGTTTCCATCCATTGGTGCTATGTCCTTCCATCTATGAGTGGTATGTGCTTCCATCTATGAGTGCTGTGTGCTTCCATCTGAGTGCTATGTGCTTCCATCTATTGGTGCTCTGTGCTTCCATCTATTGGTTCTATATGCTTCCATCTATAAGTGTTATGTGTTTCCATCTATTGGTTCTGCATTCTTCCATTTCTGAGTGCTGTGTGCTTCCATTTCTGACTGCGTTGTGCTTTCATCTCTGACTGCTGTCTGCTTCCATCTATTGGTGCCGTGTGCTTCCCTCCATGAGTGTTCTCTGCTTCCATCTATGAGTGCTGTGTGCTTCCATCTCTGACTGCTATGTGCTTCCACCTATGAGTGCTATGTGCTGCCATCTATTGATGCTGTATGCTTCCATGAATGAGTGCTATGTGGTTTCATCTATTGGTGCTATGACCTTCCATCTATGAGTGCTATGTCCTTCCATCTATGAGTGCTGTGTGTGTGCTTCCATATATTGGTGGTATGTCCTTCCATCTATTGGTGCTGTGTCCTTCCATCTATTGGTGCTGTGTCCTTCCATGTATGAGAGCTCTGTGCTCCCATCTGTGAGTGCTGTGCACAGATTTTCTGAGCATAATGTTACCGGTTTGCAGAGAAAGAGGTGGTGTGTGCAGTGCTCATGTGAGGTTGGCATTTTCCTGATGACCTGGGACAGCTGCTCTCTTTCTCTCTCCCCCTCTCACTGCCTCTCTCCTGGTTTCTATCACTTTGACCTCTAAAGTCTGAAACTGTCACTGAAAGGGCTTAAAGTTTGTTTTTCAACCCATTCCGGAAACTCACAATCACATACTTTATCCACGGATTTACTTAAATATAGAAAATGCCCTGCCTTGTCCCAGATGAATTAAATAAATACACACGTATGATTTAGCCAGCGATTTGTCTTAGCTGTTCTGCTGGTGACCCATCGATGTAATGTGGCGTATTCTTACAAGTGCATAACACACCCTCCTATTCTCCCAGCAGCCTGTCTGCTTTCTCCTCCAGCTAGCGTTACAAGATAGTTTTTTTTGTTTTTCTTAAAGAGAAGAACCATATGTTCCTCTGCAGATTGGCCAAACTGCTTACTTAGCCCATGGGCTACTAGTTGTTATGCTGTATGTATACTGTCAGGTTTATGGCTATGTAAGCTGCTTTAGTCATAACTTAGGGAGAAAAAAAAAGGCACCAGTATTTATTTTCTGTATTTATTGGGGAATGGGTTTGTCCACATAAGCAAGGTGATTTTTTAAATTGTTTTATTCCAATGTGACAGATTTAGGGATGCAAATTAGATTTACCAGACTGTGAAAAATATGAAACCTAAAAAATGTGAATGATTGCTTTGCGTCAATCGAGCGTTATGCCGAGCTGGCGTTTGTTGTTCTGATTTTGGTTTTCAAAAGGTGCTGCTTGCCACCTTTTGTAATCTTTTACCTTGATAATATCTTCCGCAAATGACATTTCACCCTGTTGGAAAATTGATTTGCTCATTATTTACCAGTTTAATCTGTCTAGTACCAGGCTAACTCTTGTAAACGTTTAGTGGTTTTGGCAAAGTTTGGGAAGGACTTACTAATTTTTATTGACATAAACTTAAGAAAGCCAAAGATAGTAACTTAAAAGTTTTGATTGTTTTGTGATGTATACAATTTAAAGGGGTAGGTTTCCCCCCGCCTGATATTTGGGACTTTGAACTAATTGAGCTGATATCTTTCAGATCATAAGTGTCCTGTTATTTAAGGGGCAGATTTATCAAGCTCAGTAATCTGTTTTCCAACATAAATTCACCACTTCCCTGAATTTATGAAGGGAGCTTTGGCAATGAAATCAATGTTCCAAGGCTTGAATTTGCAGCAATAGACAGTCCCAGATGTTTTGTTTTCTTGCACTGTCAAAATCAATCGTTTCTGAATACTCAGTAGTGTGTAGGGCAATTTGACAAAAAACAGGATTTTCCCTTGCCATGATTGGATGATTGAAATGAATATAGCTTCATTTATACCATTTACTAAGTGAATGTTCTTTGTTCATTTAGTAAATTATCCTCAGTATTTTCTGTGAGATCTCTATTTATTCAACCTCTAGAAAAAATTTGGTGGGGACTTTGACTTTTAATTCCAATTTTAAAAAATCTTGCAGGTTTATGATGGGATGATTGCATTTACGAGGGAAAAGTTTTGAGAGATTAAAAAAAACTCCAGAAAAATGTCCCCTTATGGCTCAAAATAATGTGGGGTTTTTGTAAATAGTGCTCCCACTAGTGTTAAGGTACAAATTTGGGATAAGCACAAATTCAATATGAATTTTCTAAGTTCTAATTAGATAAAAATTTTAGAATTATTGAAAATTATGGTTGACAGCTTTTGGCCCAACCCATAATGCCTGGAGCACTACTTGGTCTTAAAAACACCCTTGCAGCTGCTAAAACTACCAGGAATTTTTTTTTGACTGAAATGAATCAAATAAAAGTAGTTTAGGGTGCCCCTAGCTAAGAATTAAAAGAACAACTTTGATTCCATAGCCAAATATGGGCTGCATAGCTCTATTGTCACTGACGCTGTGCCTGGAAACCATGGTGGGTTTGTAATACCACATAGAGCTTTAGGGCACCTCCCAAACCTGTAATTTAAAGGATTTATGTATTTTCAATGTGGTACTCACAATTGTATGAAATGCCTACATTTTTTATGTTTTTGGTGATAGCAAATGTCCTCTATAGTGCTTCATTTGACCAACATGTGACCTTAAAATAATCCCCCATTGAATTTAATGCAATTGTAACTTAAAATTTTAGTTTATCGATTTTGTTTCTATTAAAAGAATTGGCGTTGAATCAAATTGAGCACATTTGTTCATTGTTAGTGCCCCAAGAATACTAGTGTCAGTCATGCTAGGTGTATTTATGAGGAACCTGCCTTTTTGGTCCTATTTTTTAATCATTTCAGTGTCCCAAAAGCAAAACAGACATTTATATGGCTCACTAGAAAAATATCAGCTTTGATGCTAAAACAGAACCAACTACTGGGCTTTTGAAATTTCAATCCTGTGTTAGTTTGGTGTCACAAGGAGCTATTTGCAGGCATATAAATACCAAGGAAATAATGAGTTTGAGTTGGCTTATCATTGGTAAATATGCCCTTAATGTTTCTTTGTAATGATAACATTTTTCAAAATTGATTGTCCACAGAAACTGATTTTCTAAAAATCTGGCAGCTCCTTTTTCTATGAATCTTCAGTTATAGTTTTGTACCCTGATGGCTGTGATTAGTGTTTGGTTCGCCTGATTTTTGTAGAATTTCCTACCAGATGATCAGCCTGTGCGTGACCAGCCTTGCACCAGCTGACCTGTTTTACCCCAGCATCTAATAATTAGCTTTTAAAGGTTTTACATGGGAGGAATTTTACAAAACTGTTTCCTAAAAAGTTACAAGCAAATGAAAGTTACAAAACAGTAATTGAGATTATGTTTTTTTTAATTCTTTATATTTACGTTTGCAAAATGCTTTCATTTTTAAAAATCCATATTGGATGTTTTAAATGAGCCTTGTCAATTACAATTTGTTGTATATATAAATATTATTTAATAAAAAATAAAAAAATAAAAAATATAATTCCCCTTATCTTTCTACACCACAGAACATGGGGCTAGTGTAAAAGTTATATTATTTTGATAAAAACATTTCCTAACCTAAATGGGGTTGACCAGATATTTTCCCTTTACTGATTAGGCCTTGGAAGTCAATAGAATTTTGCTTTATAGTAAATAACCTTCCTTCCCCCCAGTGTCCAAGGAAAGGAAGCAGCTGGTCATTTTTTATATGAGGCTAATATAAATACATTCAAGGAGATTTATAAAGGTGTAACCTTTTTAGTTAACCCAGTGAATCTGTGTTCCATTCAGCTAATGCAATGGAAATTCTTTTTACATTCTCCTGGAAACAAGCGGGTGTTTAATGTGAGCAAAGGTTCACTGGGTTAAGTGGAAAAAAAGACCTCTTTAGTAAATCAACACCACTGAGTCTTAGAAAATGTAGTAATAAGTACTAACTTTCTCCCCAGCTTGAGCTGTTGTGTTTACTGTACTGAGGGAGTTTGGGAAGCACTTAAAATAGTGAAGTTGTGCGCTCCCCAATCATGTGCAGGGGAAATTAAATAAAAATAAATTTACCTTACACATACACACACAGCTTCATATTGCTAAGTAAACATTTTCTACTCCTTTAGTATTTTTGTTATTGTATTTATATTTCTTGATAGGTTCAGGATACATAATTAAAAATGTGTTTGTTCTTTTTTTTACTCAGGCAATTATGAAATATTGCCTATAAATATTGCATATCATGTTTGGCATATAAATATTGCATATAATGTTTAGATTTCCAGCCAAGTCTTATTAGATGTATGTCACACTAGCGATCCTTCTGCTGGCAGGAGCTCACTATCGATGTGATCACTAGAGAGGGCAAAAAGGCACTCGCCTGTTTCTACTGCATGGCTCCCTAGCTGACCAGAACAACAGTTTGTCACTTCCTCACTGGATGGAACAATGCAGCATCTCCCTCGACATTGAGGCAGTGATGTCTTGCTGTACTGGCCAGTAAGTAAATGATGACATAGAAACAATTCGTTTTTTAATGTTTTTTTTCTAGCCATTCTGTTACTAGGGATTGTCGCCAGCAAGGGGTTTGCTAGTATGACATACACCTGTTTTCACTTTGCCTTAGTTTCTATTCACACACACTTATCAGTTGCAGCTTGTCACTGATCCTTCAGTCCAACTTCAATAATGTGACAGTGCATGTATATTTCCAGCCAGCAGGTGGTGCTCTGGATTTCTTTTCACACATTTGTTAGGCTAGCATTAGCTGATTTGCTGAAAAAAAGCCTGCACTGTATAGAGATCAATAGCTCAAGCTGAAATTCATATTTAAAATTCAGATACGTGATTCCCCCCTCCCTGGTTCTCTTTTTAGAAGAGATTCACCTGCCCACATGCAGTATCATTGGCGCGGCCTGTATTAAATGTTCATTTATGATGATTTTTTAGAAATAAAAAAAATGGACCAAAAAACATTATAATTTTACTGTAAATGAAGACACTTTAATGTATAAAAATTGCAATAAAGAAAACAGAGCCAGAGCCTATACCAGCTAGTTATACTCTTATATTTTCAAATTAGCTCAGGAAAAATAAAATATGAAAAGTCATTACTGTGGACAAGTGTTTTTTTTTTAAATTTTAATAGGTGGGAAGTAAGAACGCTTAAATGTCACTGTTTCATGGCTCTGAATGCATTCATAAGTGTGAATCACTTTGCAATTCTGGTAGTTTTGGTAAATAATCTAAAGTTTATGATAATTCATAAACACAGGCACTCAGAATTCATGAACTGCAGCACATACTTGTGTGAATTGTAAATGTACACTTTACATGGGACTTACTTGATTTTTGCTGCACAATTTCACCTTTGTGTGTATTTAAATGTTATTTGTGTACCATCATTTTTAATTTATTTTTCACTCTTTTTTCTTCTGTGAAAAAATATGTAAAATAATTAGGGTCTGTTTTTCGCATAGGACTAGGTGCAGGATAGCGAAAATAAGCTTCCATAACCCTCAGGAGCCATTTAAAACCCATTGCACCTTTAATAACCACCTTCATTTCATCTTCCCTATTGGCTCTAATGGATTTCACCAAAATGGCAACATTTTTGACTAAATTTTAAGGAAATAAAACATTGTGCTTTGCAGAGATTCAGCTATTTTGCAAGGTTAATGTGACTGGGAAATCTCTTTCTAGACCAATTCCGGCCCTAAATCAGTACATCATTTTTAAAATTGAAATGACATCTTGCTGAATAACTAATACATTTTTTTTTTACTTCACCCTAGATCACCCAACTTAAAATTGCTAGCAATCCCTTTGCAAAGGGCTTCCGGGACTGTGACCCAGAAGACTGGTGAGTGTTGTTTATTGAAAAATATTATTGTGAAAATGAGTTGCAGTGCTCAATATATATATATATGTGTTTATATTTACATTTACTGTTTCCATTTTATCAGAAGTGAGTTTACAAGATTTTACCCTAAACAGAACCTGATTTCCAAGGACAGAACAATCACTACATAGTTAAATAATATATTATAGTTGCAATTTTATGAACAAGGTTATTTGCAATAGCAAAATCTTCACTAGCACTTGCATTGTATTGACTTTAGTTTAAGTGCAAGTGGTTGCATGCCTCAGACCTCAGTGCAAAATGTTTGCACAGGGATATCAAGAATTTGCTAAACCGGTACATGCAAAGGAGAAATGAGGATGAGTGGTTACCATACTAAGTTTGTATTTATAAAATAGCTACTGAACATTTTTTAGTGTGTACTTAATTATACATCAGGAATGTTTTATGAAATATCTAATGAGGCTAATTGCATCCACTTTTCTATTTTTCTGTTAGTTACAGATAGCCAAGCTTGGCTATGGGGAAATCTTAGAATCATTTTTTTTTTTAACTTGGCTGAATATTTGAAGTAAACAATGACTGGTTGTTACACGGCCTGGTAAAAGAAGCTATAGGGCTGATTTGATTGATTGTACATTAAGAGATTTTGCTTACCAATGCCAAAACAGTGGTGCCAAAAAATCATACTTTAAATACCAGCAGCCTCCATCAGTACTACCTTTCCCTCTGCTTTCCATGCATATGAATCAGGATTTCAAAAGTTTTATTGTTTTCTTCAACACACAAAATCACAAAACACACCATTACTCACAAGGGGAGAAAAAAAAGGAAAAAAAAAAAAAAA